TTTACAACAACAAACTAGATTAAGTAACTAAACCTCTCGATTAGAAAAGCCAAACCGGAAAGATGGAATCAACATATAAAATAGCTGAAGGAATATTCCTTGCGCCTCGTGAAAGTTTGTTCGCCAAATAATTTTGTGTTCTCGGTATATGTCGAATCCGAAAGTCAAAGTAGAAAGTTTTACTACACCGAAATTCATCTATGTGTGTAGAAAAGGTTGACCATTCATGTGGTGATGACACCATCTTCATCAATTGAAACAATCTGTTTTAAAAACATAGTTCAGAGAACTGAAGGATTTTCATGCATTTCATTGCACATAGAACTTCACATTCAGCATGTAGGGGTGAAAGACCCCGCCGAAGATATGGCTCCCATCATTACCTCATTTGATCATGTCTCTTTACAGTACAATCCTTGGCTGGTACATATATCCTCACTACGCCATACACCATCAATATAACAGACTCGTATATCTTCCAAAGAAAGTCCATAAACCGGTTGAATAGGTTCATGTTGAGTAGACATCAGAATCTGTGCCTCAGTTCACATAGCCTCTTCCACTTCTGCCAAACGTAAAATTTTCTGAGGATTACTATTATTATTCTTATAAATTTTATCATTTCTATTTTTTAAAATATACCACAATATCCACGAATAGTAACTAAAATCTTCATCCTTTGGGAGTTTCCAGAAAAGATAATCCATATTCGTAAAAAACGACGTAGCCGGAAAAATAGCTTAAGGGGAAGGAAACCTAGATAAGGCCCATGTTTGTAGTGCTGGTGGGCATTCAAAAAATACATGATTAGTAGACTCTTCATCTACCCCACATATACTACACCTTAAATTACAATCAATCCCCAGCTTCCTAATGTTTTGTGCTACTGGTAAACCTTAGGATTACAACTTCTACATATTTATTGTTATGTTTAAATACGGAGAAAACAATGATTTAGTGTCAAATGATGATTTGTTAATATTTTTATAAGTTATATTTTTGTAGTTGAACTAGAACAAAACTAAAAAAATCAACTTGATTGAATTGAAAAATACAAACAAAGCCATATTAAACTAATTTAAACACAAACCGAACTAAAACTGAACCAAACACAAACAAAACCAAACCAAACCAAACTAAAACCGAAATAAACCAAACCAAACTAATATGGGTTGACTTTGGTTAAAGATTCCTTATACCCAGATAATCCAAACCAAACCGAATCCGTAATAAAACCAAAATGTCTACCTCTAACCAAAAATGTTTCTCATTCTTCTATCTACGTTTGGAGATATTTTACTTCCAAATGTAATAGAATAAACATACGATTTGCAAAAGCTTATAGTTGTCTTTTAAGAACCACTAGACCATGACCCGTCCGACCGAGTGGGTGTTTTGTTTTCTTTTAATTTTTAGGTTTATACTAAATGATGTATGTTTGTAATAGTTACATAACTTTATTATTCTGAATTTACCTTGAACTATTATTTATATAAAAATATACATAACATGATATGTTTATATTAATCTTTTTATTATATATTATATAAATGTTTCTTTTTGTGACTTTTATTTTAGTTATTACTTATAAATAATAAAAATATAATTATATATCTTTGAAAAAAATATTGTTCATTAACTATTTAAAGATATGTAGATAATTAATAAGAAAAAAATCCTAAAAGGTAGGTTAATTAATATTGGAATTAATTATTATGTATATGGAATCAGTAAAAGAATTTCTATATAATTTATTTATTTAATTACGAAAGGTATATATGAAAATAATTATTTTCATTAATTATTGTTGCCATAATTATTTTTAGTTAAAATTTGATTTTGGAAATGGATTAAATAAAGTGAAAAGACAAAGAATCCTATAAAGTAGGATAATTAATAACTTCAGTGGCATAACATTGTAATAAGTAGAAAAACTCAGGGATATTTTATATGGGTACTTCTCTTTTAATAATATAGATATCTATTGATACATCTATTGGTAAAACAAATTGAAAGCGACACGCTTCAACAATTCTTCCGTAAACCACAATTTCCAGTTTGCAATTCCTCAGAAGATTTAAACGGTTGTAATGATTTACTTAAATCTCTAAAATAAAAATTAATACAATCAGCTAGGGAATAAGAAGAGAGTACATATAAACATCATAACTGGCTTTAATGGATTTTAGCTTCCTCGAACAAAAAACAAAAGGGTTTCATAGATGGCTCTTGAAAAAGAGTCAGATATGTTGCCACGATTAGGATGGTTTTGCTTATAGGGTGAAGCTGAGGGGAGCTCTTAGGGGGTTAGAAATTTACAAAATTTGAGATAGGGACATGGGTAATTTACCTTTTTAAAAAATAAATACGTCTATCAAATTTGATTTAACATGTCAATATCAAGGATTGGAAATGAATAAACAGCATAGTATAAACGTATGCTTTTTGATTAAATTAAATAACATAATTACTTGATAACTTTCTTTGGATGCAAGTAATTCTTTCCTCTCTAGAAAAGCTCTTATTATATTAGGGCTAAAATAGAATCCCTCTCCACAAAATGAAAAAATTCGAACGGGACCACAATGAATTTTTTTAAAAAAATTAATAAAAGAATGAGTTCGAGACAAAAGGAAAAATAATTTGTGTGGACAAAGCTCATGCATATACAATGAAGTTTAACTGAAGTTTTGGGGTGGGGTTCATGCAAATATGTAACTCACGCTATTTTTCATGCTCATTTGCTTATATAGACAGAGCAAACAAACCCATTCAAGCACAAACAAAGTTAACAACAAAAACAAAGCAAAAAAAATATGGGGAGAAGAAATACATGGGTATTATTAACGTATGTAACAGTGCTAATGATTGAAGTCGAATCAAGTCTTCACAGAGTAGGCGGAGGAAAATACAACTGGAATCCTGATGTTAACTTCTCCGATTGGGCCAACAACCAACGCTTCTACGCCGGCGATTGGCTCTGTAATTATAAACAACATATATTCATTCGCTTTTCTTTTTTTTCACTTCCTAATATTGTAAAGCAATTATAAACAAAAACAAATTAAATAAAACGTAGGGAAAATATTTCAAACTTAATAGATATATACACCAATTTTGAATTTTAAACTTTTTAAAAAATTCTGGGGTTAGTATTTTACTTTTATGGATTAGTCTTCACAATTTAATTACGGTTTAGAGTTTGGGCTTTAGATTTGAGGATAAAGTTTTAGATAATTTTACTAGTTATTTCTTTTAAAAAATGGGTTATATGTTGGTTCTGGTATAAAGTACTTCCTCAATATCATCGTCGTAAAAATTTATCAAAAAAAATATATCATTTTCCACTAACAATTTTTTTTAAGTAGACCAAATTGTGTAAAATTAAAATAGTACAACACTTTTCAGCTTGAAATTCGAGTTTTTAGGATTTAGAATTGATCCATTCTATTAGTTTGAAGGACATCGATTTAGAGTATGGTTGGTCTACTTTGTTTATTTTGATATAAATTATGGTAATTCTAATTAAGCTAAGTTGAAAAAAAATTTTATGGTAGTTCTAATCTAAATTCTCATCTGAAATTGGTAGTTTTTGGGTTCGATCGGACTCGTCACAACATCCTCCAAGTAAACAAGAGCAGCTACGAGCAGTGCATCGATGATGATTTTATATTCAACGTGACACGAGGAGGACGAGATGTGTTTCAACTTGTTCAACCGAAGCCTTATTACTTCATTTGCGGTAGAGGTTACTGCGTCAAAGGAATGAAGCTCGCCGTTAACGTCCTTCCTCAACTGCCGCCTTCAATTCCCACCGTTCCCATCATTCCAGCCTCAACAGCCAACACTCTCATAATAGACTTAAACGCTTTCACCGCTATTGCTATCACCATTCTCACGGCCTTCAACTCTAAAGCTTTATACTTTGACTAGGCTTCACCATTCTCACAATCAATATGATATTACTTTTCTCTGTTGTATTAGATTTTGGTGCTTTAAATTGAAACAAAAGGGCCACTTTTCTAAAATGTTCACTTTTAATACTCTGTTTTTACATTCTAGTTGATTGACTCAGTGAATTGTTAATCGATAGAATGATTAATAATTAACTGAATCTGCAGGTGTTTACCAAAAAAAATTACTTCTTCAAGTTTTAAACTCGGATATTGCCACATTCAGGTTCTCCTAAATTAGGATGGTTTTTTTTTGTTCCTTAAATTGATTTGGCTCAAAGTCCATTATCTTTTATCTTTTTTTTTCTGGCCCGTGTTTGTGTATTAAACCCTAGGGTTTACCGTTTACATCTCATTCTCTGTCGAAAGTTTAAATCCGTAAATATCATCCGTAAACATAAATGAAAAACTGCATTACTTCCTCTTGCGAAAGTTTAAATCCGTCAATTGTTTATCTCTTTTTACTTTCTGAATATTCGCAATAAGAGTCTATGTACATAAAATTAAAGAACCAACTTAACGTGATCATACATATTCTTGTAAATTAGATTTAGATAGATTTGACTCAAATTAAATTGTTGTTACTATCAAGGCCACATTATCCCTTGGCGTATCATGTATGGGATGTGACACAAGTTAGTTGCTTGATAATTCCATCCATCTTGAGATCATAATTTTCATGCTATCCAGAGCCAGCCTTGGCACAAAGCGGATGAAGCAACGCCTTCCGGCCGCCATTTTAATAAGGTATAAACCGGCCACATCTTTCCCAAAATCTACCTTTAATCTAGTGGTTAAATAGCAATACCCATTTTACATGGAGTCCAAGGTTCGAATACTCCTTGCTGCACACATTAATTTCAGCCTTTTCTTTTGTCTGGGCTTGTGGCCTTTATAAATCTAGGACCGCTTCTGATGCTATCATTAGCTAAAAATATGATTGAGAATCCAGTGCACTGATATTTAAACATTTTTGTCGTTTCTTCTATTTTATAAATGCACGTGAGTCTTGGCTCGTGATAAACTTCCCACTAGGGACACATACTCATGGCATGGGGATTACAAGTCCCTGATTTATGTTTATTATGTGGTCAGGCAGTGGAGACAAGAGAACATGACTGTTTTTCAATTGCTCATACATTGCACAAGTCTGGTCTTTTTTTTGTATTCTAGATGTCATTTGTCTCCTCCAGTTGAGTTTGAAGCGGAGATTAGAAGGGCTAAAAGACCAACACCTAATGGTAATGTAGCGCTTCTCATCAAACCTGCATTCGAAGCCTCTATGTATTTCATATGGAAGGAGAGGAATGTTAGACTGCATAGGCATTAAGATTGTATGGGCTACTATAGTCTCTTAAAGCATTTTCAAAAGGCTTCAAACCCTCAAATTTTGATTCTCAGATCCTAAAATCCTCAAATTTTGAAGGTATGAACACTAAATTCTCAAATTTGAAGATTCACTATTCATGCTTTCAAAACAGTATTTATGTTACAATTTAGTTCATATAATTTTGTAACTTACATATATTTATACATGTATTAATTTTCTTATCACTTTACTCCTGATTATTATATTTTATAGCTATATTTGTCTAAGGTATTCAAATATATATTATATATATATGTATAATTAATACATCAAATATATAAATATACTAAAATAAAATAAAAAGTAATAGAAAACATTTTTTTTAATGTGTAGTATTATCTATCTATATAAAATTTAATGATTATAATTAGTTTATATTAAAATTGGAGACTAAAATGCAAACAACATAAAAAATTTAAGATACATTTAAAGTTTTATCTTAGAGTAACCTATCCCCAAATTCTCATTTTGTGGATTTTTCATCCTTAAAATGAAGTTTTTTTTTGGAGATGCTATTAGCTCTCAACTTGGTTTGAATTCTTTTAATTTTTTTACTAACAACTCATAGGTGGTAGACATTTTTTGTATGCAGATCCTGTAGGGATTGAGATTCTAAGAGCTGTAATCCTGTAGGATGTTGAAGTTTATGAATGGAAGTTTTACAAAAATAAAAATAAAAAAATAATAATAATAAATGCAAATTTGTACCTCACAACATTTATAAAATTTTAAAATAGATATATGGTTTTTAATAAAAAATGCTATTTTCTAAAGACACAAGGATATTTCATTTTCAAAAACATCTATATATAAAAACTTGGCTTAATTAGGTGAATATACAAAATGGAGATGGAATATGCAGAAACATGTAGAGATTTCTTGAATTTGCAGATTTGGGTGGTAAACCAGGGTAAAATGTCGAATGTGTCCTTACAGTTTACTGACATACCTATTTGACTAGGGGAAAACGAGTTTTGTAAAAAACTATGAGCAAGCGTTGTGACAGAATAATAAACAAAGATTATTTCTTGGCAAAATAAATATCAATGACACAAAAATAACATTGTGGAGATCACGGCTGAATGGTAGTTTTTGGCGAAGACAATTTAGTATCAGGTTGATTGTTGGTAGATATATCCGGTTATTAATTTATGAGATTCATAGTATAACCTGATATATTTATGAGATTCAATGATCATGTAACGAGATATCGAATATAACCGGATAAGTCATAGTATAACCTGATATATTTATGAGATTCAATGATCATGTAATGAGATATTTGGATTACTTGGTACCGGATATATCATGTACCAAATAATGATTCTTAGAACCTTTTGATGATTTCAAAAAGAGACCTTGTTGTTCTTCCTCTTTTGCATCAATAATGATGATTCTTCTACTTCCTCTTCATTATGATTCCTTTTTTTCCTATGAGGTTTCCATTTTTAATGAATGAAACCGAGCCAATGAGTTGGGCAGAGATTTATTGAAACGATCTCTATAAAATCATATTGATCTACTATAAGAATGAGATTGTTGATAAGATCAAAAATTACTCAAACGATACTCTTATAGAAAGTGGGTGAATTAAGAAATGGGTGAGTTAAGAAGATAATATCGAGATTTGAGGTTGGTAGACAAACCCATTTTGAAGAAAATAAAATTATAAAAAAATCTTATGTGTTTCAGGGATGAAAAATTAAAGGTTCGTAGAAGAAACATAAACCCAGGATCATAAATACAATTTATCAAAAAACAAAAAACAAAAAAAAATCATTGAAAAGCCTTAACTTTCAAGGAGAATAGAATGAACACACAATAAAAGATGGGAACTGAGATGTGTATTCCAGAAATTCAAGATTGGAGAAGGGGCAAAGATTGTTACGATCATGTGAGACTTTAAAATGAAAAAGAGAGAAATATACAGATATAGATAGATACATACGAAGAGAGAGGAAGGGTAGGTATAGTTAGATATGTAATATCAATTGTCAGAGATAGATAGATATGTAGGGGTACGTTTGGATTTATGAAAAATGTACAGTGTCATAGCTATTTACCTAATTAATTTTGTTTCTATAGCTACCTACTGCAAATTCCCTAAAAACTTATATTTTTGTGATCAAATAAAAACTTAATTTTAGAATAAGAGATTGAAGTGAATAGAGATGGTATAATATATTAATTTATAAATAATAAATTGAAGAAGTGGACACGAAAAATAAATAAATAAATAAATAAATAAATGTGGGAGTCACTGTCTGTAACGAACCAGTACGCCGAACATCAACCACCGTTCGGAAAAAAATCAATCGCCGGCGATCGAAAACGACGGCTCCCCCAACAGGGGACATTCTCTCTTCTTCAAGCAAACTCTCTCTTCTGTTATTTATTACACTGCTAGACATCACACCAAAGTCATCCTCTTCTTCTTCTTCTTCCTTCAACATCTCTCTGTAATTTCATTTCCCCTTTCTGAGATCCTCGACAAAAATGGTGGATCCAGGTCCAATTACGCCGGGTCAGGTACTATTAATGTTTCCAATTTTTCTAGAGCAGTGAACATATCAATAGATCACTTACACTAAAATGATAAAGTTGAGGTCTTGCGTGCCACATAAAGATGGAGTCTTTAAGTGCAAAGGTTTAACCTTTGAGTGAAATTTTGGTAGGTATCTTTTCTGCTTGGAGTGATCCCAATATTTATCGGTTGGATATACTCGGAGCTACTTGAGTACAGGAGGAAGTATCTCGTTCCCTTTAAACCGTAAGAAGTTCTTCTTGCAATGTCAGTAACGTTTTAGTAGATTGTTGTTGTCTTCCAACTCTCTTTTGAGTTTAGAGTTTTGCATTCTTTTAATGCAGTCACTCGGATAATAATCTGGTTGAGTTGGGAGGCGTAGCAGAGAAAGACGATGACAAAGCTGATTTATTGGAGGGAGGAGGTCTTGCTCGTTCTGCATCTCTAAGGTTTCATAACTCATCCATCAGAACTAACATAGTCAGGTTCGTGTTTCTACCTCATGTCTTTGTTTAGTATTATGTTTCTTCAGAAGCTCTCATGCTTCTATGATTTATAGGTTTTTGAGTATGGAAGATTCGTTTTTGCTGGAACACCGAGCAACCTTGAGAGCAATGTAAGTGAACATAACCGATGATATGTTTGTCCCTTCTTCTTCTTATGTTAACATCCATAATCTTTACCTAGGTCGGAGTTTGGTGCAATCTTAATATATTTCTATATCTGTGACCGCACGGAGTTGCTTGGAGATTCAACCAAGGTACCCACCTGATTTATATCTTGAATGAATATTTTTACTTCAATATTTGAATGCTTTTTTGCTCATATTACTCTGTTTCATTTCACAGAATTACAACCGTGACCTTTTCATTTTTCTCTACGTTCTTCTCATCATAGTCTCAGCCATGACATCTCTTAGAAAGCACAATGACAAGTCACCCATTAGTGGAAAATCCATTCTCTACCTTAATCGCCACCAAACCGAAGAGTGGAAAGGATGGATGCAGGCTAGTTGTTCTTAACCATTAGCTACATGATCGTTGCCTCTTTTTTTTGTTCGGTTTCTAATGTCTTTGTTTTCAACAGGTTTTGTTCTTAATGTATCACTATTTTGCCGCGGCTGAGATATACAACGCAATCCGTATCTTTATTGCTGCTTATGTCTGGATGACTGGTTTTGGAAACTTCTCCTACTACTACATCAGAAAAGATTTCTCCCTCGCACGTTTTGCGCAGGTGATACAGTTCACTTTCCTCATTGATTGCACTTTTGTTAATCCTCAGCATCTAATATCTTGGTTTCTCTTACAGATGATGTGGAGGCTGAACTTCTTTGTAGTGTTTTGCTGTATTGTTCTCAACAACGACTATATGTTGTATTACATCTGTCCAATGCACACTCTCTTTACATTAATGGTGTACGGAGCGCTGGGTATCTTCAGCAAATACAATGAAGTTGGATCAGTGATGGCTCTGAAGATATTTTCATGTTTCCTAGTTGTCTTTCTGATGTGGGAAATTCCTGGAGCTTTTGAAATATTCTGGAGTCCATTAACATTCTTGCTAGGTGGTTTAACTTCTGTAGATCTGATCATGTACTCCACATGAAACCAAATGTTTTTTTTTTAATATTTGGAAATTGTGTGTGAATAAATGCAGGTTACAGTGACCCTGCTAAGCCTGATCTTCATCGGTTACATGAATGGCACTTCAGATCAGGGCTTGATCGCTATATATGGATCATTGGCATGATTTATGCTTATTTCCATCCAACTGTAAGCTCTTAAACATAGACACACTTTTAGTTTCTTTTTTTATTCGTGCAGTGTTGGTTTACTAAACTTGAAATCATTCTCTAGGTGGAGAGATGGATGGAGAAGTTGGAGGATTGTGAAACGAAGAAAAGACTATCTATCAAGACAGCCATTGTTACTATTGCCTTGCTTGTAAGTCATCTTTGATCTTATTGATTGCATTATTCAGTTATATACATTGATACATTTTTTCTCGTTTGCTCACAGGTTGGCTACGTGTGGTATGAATGTATCTACAAGCTGGACAAGACCAGTTACAACATGTATCACCCATACACATCTTGGATCCCTATAACGTATGTGCAAAAATCCTCTAGTTTGTCAATATATCCGTCTCTGATCTTACTTGCTGAAACTGAAACATGACTCGTCATTTGGTTTCCTTGTATCCAGTGTTTACATATGCCTCAGGAATTTCACACACCAGCTTCGGAGTGTCTCATTGACTCTCTTCGCGTGAGTAAACTCAGCAGTTGCATTTAACTTAGTTCCCGGTTTGATCTACTTGCCTCATTACCATGTAATAATACTCTTACATGTCTATGCGCAGGTGGCTTGGCAAGATCACTTTAGAGACTTACATTTCCCAATTTCATATATGGCTAAGGTTTGTTCTCCACAACTTGAATCTTGTATCCCCGGAAACTTAATCTGATCTATTGTTGGGCAATTTCCAGATCAAACATGCCTGATGGGCAACCAAAGTGGCTTCTCTCTATTATTCCAGGATACCCTATGCTCAATTTTATGCTCACAACTGCAGTATACGTCCTTGTATGAAACTTAAACTTCTTCTCTCCCTATCTTTTCAATTACCAAACATTCTGAAACATCTCTCTGTGTTTCTTCTTCTTTAGGTATCTCACCGTCTCTTTGAACTAACCAACACACTCAAGACCGTTTTTGTACCCACAAAAGACAACAAACGTCTCTTCTGTAACTTCATAGCTGGAATCGCCATTGCTCTTCCTCTCTATTGCTTCTCATTCGTTCTTCTTCAAATTCATCGCTAAAACCAGTGAGTCCACTAATCAGTCTCATTGCCATTTTACTCATCAAAATCTAACTAAAAACTGTGTTGTTATACAGGCATAAAGATGTGTAGTTCTTTCTGTTTCTTCGTCAGGATCTCACTAAAGCAGAGCAAAATAAGATACAATACAAGTTAGATTTGTGGATCATTCTCTTGTGCATATTCAGCTTCGTTCAACAAAGCCTAGACCTGATCTCAGAAACCAAGACTGCTTTGCTCTAGTGCCATACGATATGGAAGCAACTGTTTTCAGTTTAAATTTCCCCCCTTTTATATAGATTTCTTTATACTTTGTTCTGTAAGCATTAAGCAAAATCTTGGTGGTTCGTCCAAAAATGTATAGTGATTTTGAAGTATTAATCAAACTGCAAAAAAAGGAAGGGTGATAGTTGCTACTTCTATATGATCTCATAATCCATAAACAGATTGCTTAGACAGAAGTAGCTTGGAGCTTCCTTAACTTGAAAAGGACATGAAGACCAATAGTCCAATCCTACTCTAAACTAAAATTTCGGAATAAAACCATGTATAATCCTACTTTATCTTTCATTCCATAATTGAATAAAAGATGAGATTATTACATAAAAAGAGTAAAAAGTATTTTTACTATCTTTCTGTTCACTTCAAAATAAAATAAGATTGAAAGGAAACTCAACTGTATAATGGAGTTATTCCATTTTAAATGGAGTAATGCATTAAAAGTTCTCTACAAAAAGCAAAATCTATATAATAATAGTACACTTTCGAAGCTCTTCAGTGTGTCCACGTTAGCAAGTTTGCGGGTCCCGTGCATGTTATTAGGGAAAACAATAACGTATAACATTTTGTAAGATTGAAAGTTAACGATGAGTGATAAAATAGTCCAGTGGTGTAAGTTGGTGACAAGAAGTTGGGTCGTGAGTGCGTGGGTTCGAAATGCAGTGCTTGCATATAATTTTTTTTTTTTGATTTGGGCTTTTTGGGATATCTAAAAGCTTAGGGAGATTCAGAATGAATTTTTATGCTGGTTGTTAGGATACAAAATGGCTTAAGGATTTGAAACTTTATGAGACCATCTTAGATACATTTATAAGAAAAGTTATCATGTTCTAACCTCCAATATCATTTCAATTCAGTTATAACCATTAAATAAAATAAAAACATATTTTCAATAATAAATATTTACCCCGAACCATTCAGATCGACCATAAATCTCATATACATCAGAATTAAAAAAAAAAAAATATATATATATATATATATATATATATATATATATAACACAATTTCAGAAAGAAAATTACACTAATAAACACATGTCTTTTTTTGTCTTGTCTCCATTAAATTATATGAAAGCACTAATAACAGTAATGCTCGATAAAATTACTAATAAAGGAAATGCTCGATAAAATCACTACGAAGTTAAAAATGAAAATATCAACCCATATGAATTCGATGTTTATTCTTTTATCAGACTAATAGAATTGTGTGACTGCTAATGTTTTCTTCATCACCATTATACATAAGCCAGATAAACAAATGTTAAAAAAAAACAGCAAAGTCTCATACACAAAACTACACAACACATCAACAACGTATCCAACCCCCGCGCTTGCGCGGAGACTATGCATCTAGTTCATTAAAGGGTATAACAAAAGTAATTTATAACAAAAAAATTGATGAGTTATCTTCAAAAAAGTACTATTAATAATAATCTTTTTTAAAAAAAAATTAGTATTATTAATGAGAATTTCCATTAATTTACCATTTATTTATTTAAAAATAAAATAAAAAGTAGGCCATCAATAAGCCAATCAAACACATGTTGTACAGATACAATATAGACATGTCAATTATGACAGAATCCCGCAGTCCTATAGAAGGGATATATTAAAAGTAAACGCTGAGATTTACGTTGATGAAGTCGTTTAGAGAGAAGAGACAACAATAAAAGATTTGTAGTAAAAGGTTTGTACTACTAGTACTACTAACCAGTTTATACGACGAACCATTTGATGTATGGATCGCTGGGACTACAGATACCGGAAACATGTCATGGACCAAGTTACTAACACAAATACCCAATTATTAGGCTTTTCATGGGATACGTTTCGTAGCCGACGAGCCGAACAAAGTTTTTGTAACAACCCCAATTTCTACCTTAGGAATTGTTAGCATGCTAAACCCAAATATTGGCCTATAAATACCCAGCTCCCACCCCATTAGTTTATTTTGTTGCCAAATCCAAGAGAGAGAGAGTTAGAGAAAGAGAGAGAGAGAGAGAGAGAGAGAGAGAGAGAGAGAGAGAGTGAGATAGAGAGAAGAAGCCATGGGAAACCTCTCAAGAATCAACCACCGGAGGTACCACTGGAACCACCGCACGCCAGGAGCATGTCCAGCTCGTCACCACTATTCGCGGCCGTAGTAACCACCGGAAATTTCAGTGAGTTAGAGTTTAGTTTCGTTCGTTTAGTAATTTTACCATAACTTCCTAACCGTTGAGAATCTCGTGCATGCAATGCCACCACCGTGTTCTACTCGTCGAGACGAAGCCGTAGATACCAAAAACGCCTCGATCCGACCTCAGACGAAGCCGCACGCGCCGGTCAAAGTTTCACCGTCTGAGCGCGTGGAGTGCACCCGCCGCCGCCTGACCGTCGTGTCTCCACCGCCGGAGCCGCCGCCGGACTGCTGTGTCGCCGCCGGGCCACCGTCGCCGCCGGTGACTGTCGCCGGTGACTCGCCAGTGACTCGGTCAACTCGGCCGAGTCAACTCAGCTAGTCAACTCGGTTGACTCGGTCAACCGGTTGGTTGACTGGTTTGACCTGGTTCAATCCGATTGCGATTTGGTTAAGGTAAACCGGTGGTTAAAATCAATTGAATTTTGGTTAGGAGTAAACGGATTTGTAATTGATTTGGATCCGGTTCAATTGAAATCGAATCGGTTAAGGAAAACCGATTGGTCCAATTCGATTTCAATTTGGTCAAGGGTTGACCGGCTTGGGTCAGAGTTGACCGGGTTGACCTTTGTCCAGCGGGTTGACTTTTCCGTAATTGCCCGTTTTCGACCGTTCGAAGGTCATTCTGACTCGGAATTTCGATCTGATTTCAGATTTGGGATCTATTTGAGCAGCTGGAGTTCATACATACCACTTTTCCCTAGTTACCAAGGTGAGGGTCTACTTCCGAACGATTCGTACGCGACCTAGAACTTTAAATAAATATAATTTATTTCTAATGTGTTCCGTCTTTGTGAATTAAGTCTAATTTAGGGTCTGATTGGTGTCTGCTTGTTTAGGATTAGAATTGTTTGCATAAACCGGGATTAAGGTGTCAGATGGTTCAACGTTGATTGCTTCGCTTAATGTAAATTAGTTAACTAGAGTTGTTTGGCCGGATACAGAGACGGACTTATGTATGTCGGATTGTATGTGGGGACTACGGACGGCTTCAGTCGACCGGTCGGGTCGTAGTCTAGTGCGGTCGATAAATCGTCTTCGGGCGGTGTTACTGGGCACTATCCCAGCATGTAGTCCCGCTAGCGGTTAGCGGGCAGCGAGTGCGCGACTCGCTAGGGCTATTGTTTGTTTGCTTGGGTACTTTAGGTACCGTGTTTGACATGCATTAGAATTAATTTATATTTATTCGGAGTGCTATGTCCGGGTCTACAGACTTCGAGGTAGCATCCCATACCTCACTGAGTGACTCCCCAGTCGCTCACCCTTCTTTCTTCCCATTTCAGGTGAGACAAGCTATAAGGTGATATTTGGACGGACTTGGTGCCATTGGACTTTTTATTCGGATTATTATTTGGGCTTGGGCAAGTGTAGTTGGGTTTTTGGCTTTTTATGTTACGAGATATTATTGGTGGCCCGTTGTCCCTAGAGAGAGGGAGACGGGTGTCACATTGTTATTTGAGGACGCGTCGGGGGTGACACGCTGTACTCCAAATAGGAGGTGACAGGTGTTACATTTTTGGTATCAGAGCGGGTTCCATCCCGTTTCTGTCCCGGGATGGCGGTCAGGGGATTCGGTTTTCAACGTTTTCAAAAAAAATATAATAATAATATATATATATATATATATATATATATATATAAAAAAGTATTTTGAAAATTCTTTTAGCACCATTCTGTCTTGTAACCACTAATTTCAATTGTCTCTTTTTATGACGATGAGTAAAGTCATCGTCATTCGTCTTTCGGCTACCAGGGGACTACCAGATGTTCAGCAGAGATGTGATGCCGCAGTTTGTCAGAATTTTTAAAAGTTTACCGATTTCTTCATTCTTATTCCTATATTGTTCAGGAGTGGATATGTGACGTTTTTGCCATCACCCAATTTCAAGCCGTAGTTCCACGAGTTTCTGATGCATGAGTTTATGTGATGTGAGTTGAGCCATGGGTTGGCGTGTGTTGTTGTTTTGTACGAGTGTATTGACTATTTTGGAGATATGCTTTGTTTGTAAACTCGTGGAGATCACTTTTGGAATTAGGGTGCAGAATCTAGCGTTGTGGTTTATATTGGAGTTACATTTGGCATGTTTGCCGGTTATTGGTTTTGTTGACTGCTTCAGAGACGTGTCAACTGGGTAAGCTGGCATAAGATGTGGAGAGCTATTCATGTTCATTGAGTTTTACTAGTTATGTTTGGAGGTCGCGTTATTCAGAGATTCGCCAGAGATGGAGCTGAGCTTTACGTTGCCAGTTTTGAGATATAATTATTGTCATGATATCAAGAAGTATAGAGTTTCTGAGAAAAATGGTTTATACCCCTGGAAGAGATGAGAGTTTTATTTCTTCCACACTACATGTTGAGGAGTTATTGGATATGAGAGCAAATCGATTTTTTTGAAGACTGTGTGATGATTAAGGATGATGGACAACATGAGATGCATGAACTGCTAGTTATTACAGCATATAAGAATGTATTTGAGACATATAGAAGGGCCACCATCAGATAGGAGACATGTTTATATGATTGACTTGGAACTAGAGGTAACACCAGATTCACGAGTTTCATACCGATTAGTGCAAGCAGATATGACCAAACTGATGTGACAGTAAAAAATTTAGCAGACAAAGATTTTATTAGACCGGATTTTTCGCCATGGAGACCACCAATGTTACTGCGACGAAGGAAGATGATATTCTCAGACTTTGTGTAGGCTACAGAGGTTTAAACAAGGTGACATCAAAAATAAGTATCTGCTTCCGTGTATTGATGAGTTGTTCGGGTAACTGTAAGGAGTTTTATGGTTTTCGAATATTGATTTAGCATTATGAGTTATAGTAAGAAAAATTGTATTGATGAACGCATCAGCAGTGTTCACGAAGTTTATGATTGTTGTGTCCTGCGAGTATTTGGTTAAGTGTGTGATCTTTTTCATCAAAGATATCCTAGTTATTCCTGGA